AAAATTTCACCGAGAAAAACAGCAGGGAGTGGCTATTTTACAAGGAAGGGAAGGTGGAAATTCAATGTATACTCTTGCGGCCATAACAGCACTCTGTTATTGTTACACTGGTTTTCCTTCAACACTGAAGTACACTCTACAGTTTATTCAACAGTCAGGATTGCACAGATGCACTGTGTTACACTGTATTTCCCACTTCACAACAGAAACACAGTTTATATATTTGTGTGCCTGAGAGACCTAAATGAGCCATGGATCTTTAATACATGTACACCGATCTTTAAGGCCCTCATACTTCCTAGCAGCTTGCATTTTTAGGAAGGTCAAGTTACACGACAGCACATTTCAACTAGAATACAACATTCCGTGCTTTCCTACAAGTCAAAGTGAATTGGCTGTCAAAGAGTTTATTTAAAAGAGTATAAAGTGAAGAAAAAAAAAGTAAAGGTTGGAAGCAAATGTCACGTGAGCAGCTGTCTGCCCACTTGGTGGGATCTCCTTTCCTTCCTGTGGAACAGATTTTAAAGGCACAGATGGGGCTGTAGGAAGAGGCATAATCACCTCTCAACTGTTCTGTGAGTGGAAACTGCTTCTGCTCATGCAAATGCACCACTGAATTTCCCATAAATCATATGTAGGTCTTTTAAAAAAAATAACACTGTTCTTGCCTAAGTTCTTCAAATTGAAACTTTCTTCAAGGTATATATAATTTTACTGCTGCAAATCAGCAATGCACTTTTCAAGCATCATCAAAAGACTACAACTACTTTTTTCAACTTTCCAGTAAAAATCTGAAAAGATACTAAAGATTATCCATTACAAGGCACTGCAAATCTTTGCAGGCAGAACAAAGAGGCTGCATTAAACAAGGGAAGCAGAATCTTTGTCCAGAGTGCAGAGGGAAGAAAATATGTCTACAAACATACACAGGCGCTCTAGGAGTCACTAAAACTACAGATGCTGTTTTAAGAAACTATATTTAAACAAGTAGCTTGTGTCTGAAACTGATCAAAAACAGAAAAAAATTCTGCAGCAACTCTGATATTCCTGGCCACAGTACTATTAAACCAAATGGTACATTGATTTCAGATGTAAACGTGGTGTTTTAGATAAAATTCAATTGCTTGAAGTTCAGATACTTTGTATTAATTTTAGTGAAATTGAGCCTCCTTCTATCTCTTGCTCAAAATATTCATCTGTCAGCTTCAAACACGGCAGCTCTCTTACAATATTCAAAAGACGTTAATTTAACTCTGTATGTGAAATAAAGACAAGCTTTGCAGTTTTCATTCCAGATTAATAAAGGGGGAAAGTGAGCCTAGGTGTTATTTCAGCAAATACTTGAAAGACTTGCAACAAAGGAAGCAACCTATGAGCGCACAAAAGAGTACAATTTCCAACAAGAAAGGAATAAACTGATGATGTAATATAGAAAAAACATAAGAATGTTAGCTCCGGTGAATTATGACCTCCCTCATAGTCCACAGCCAATTAAGTTAATAGTGTACCATTAAACTAATTTTCTATCAAGGTGAACTCACAAGATCATGTGGCAGCTGAAATACAATAGATTAGTGATCATGTGAGGTATATACCTCCAAGGGAGGACGGCTCTTTAAGTTATATAGCAAATTTTTATATCTTTTAAGGATTTTGAACTGGCAAATTTTAGACTTTACATTATATCCAATTAGCAGCACTTGATGTAACTAAAAAACAGAAGGCCTGCCACATGGGATTCCAGCACCATAGCCTTATTGCCATACATACCTGTAGAGTTTTCTTAATTTGCAAACATAAAGATGGACTGCTTAATCTTGCACCTTGGCAATCAAGTTAAGTAGACACAGAAACATTTAATGCTGTGAGAAACAACACGAGGCATCTAAACTAGGAGACTGTATTTCACTAATCTGCTGTAAGGCAGTCCACTCAATGCAAAAACTATGTGCATTTAACCCTGTTTCAATGCATAATCTTTTTCCAACATCCAAAAAAATGTCGAATATGGATCACAAATGATGTGAAAATGGCCAAGATGGGACAAGTTTAAAAAAAGGCCCACAACTAGTCCCCCAGCCCCAGTTCCCACCCTTTCCATTGCTACCTCCTCCCCCACCCACTCCATAATATAAGATTTGTATCAGCTGCAAAATAAGCTTTAAAAAACTCAGACCCCAAACACAGGTACAATAAACCAGGCCAATATTCCAATGTATCTACTGAATAAAGTGTGCGTAGGGAGGTCTAGTTGCATTCTACAAACAGCAGTTCTGAATTGTCCAGAAACCAGGACAGCTTTGCCAAACCAATGAGGAGGCAGCAATTGTAAGCCTCTTCTTTCAGCAGTCCTTCACTTCCCAAAGGCCTATCTCTGGGGCGGGAGAAGGAAGAGTTTAAGATAGAATTCAACTAATCAAACTACAATCAAGTTTTTTTTTTTAACCCCTAGCTAGCCTGTAATCCGAGCTGCCAATGAAACCAAATGGAAACATAACAATAATGCAAATATAAATGTCACTCTTCTCTGCTGATCCCTCCCATTCTGTAAATTAATTCAAATGCTAGTAAGTGTACAATCCAAGAAGAGTTACTACCAACTTCAAGAACAGTTGCAACAAAAGCAAACAGGGGACATGGGGCAGGGAATGACACGGAAGGCTTATTAATAAGCAGCAGATGGCATGCTGTCTCTCTCAGGAACAAAGAGATGAACAGGCCAAAGCTCTCTCAAGTACTTAAAAAATCCCCTAAAGAAAATGAAATCAAGTATTCAAAGAGGAGAATGCAAAGACAATCTCCTACCATTCCCACATGACTGCACTGGGGAATTCACCTCCAAATCCCGGCAGCAGAATGCAAGGCAGAGGAATGGAGTCATGAGAGATAGGCACAGTCCCTAGATCTAGCATCCTTTTGCTATCCATCTTCATTTGGGACTTGGGGGAATGGGAGCTGGGTTTTGCACAGGTGATGCTGGAAATGCTGGCATGCTGATCCCTGGCTGAAAGGGTCCCACTGTCTGGGCAGGGACCACGACTGACTGCTGAGTTGTCCCAGAAATTCCCATCCATTGCACTGGGTAAGTTGTTCCTGCGATGGTGTTATACTGGCACAAATGTGGTATTCCATATGGTGAGAGTGTGCCAGAAAAGGGTGATAGGGGAAGTCCTTGGGGTAAAGCAGCTGGTACAGTCCCACGGATCTGGGAAAGCGAGGAAATCCAAGTGGAGGTGTAGCCCACAGTAGATGATGTTGTCTTTAAACACAAGGGAAAACAGAAACTATTTAAAATGCAAGGAAACATACTCAACAGCTGTCTGGAGCACATCTTAGCAGATTCTGTACAATTTAGAATTACTAACAGGAGAGCATGGAAGAAGACTAAAAGATGCAGTGAAAGGTCCACACTTTTGAACAAATGCTAGCATGTCTGTGTGAAGTGGAGATGATGTTGACTTTCGGCTATCTTTATCTCTTCCTCTGATTTCATCAAAGATCCTACTAACACTACTTCTTTCTAAGTACCTGCTCCCAGCTCTCTGTTCCCAGAGCTATCCATAACATCAGGCTGTGTGCAGCCCTGCTGCTTTCCAATACCATTAATGTAGGGCACCTGAACTTTAAACTTACAGACAGCATACTCTAAGAAAAAAAACAGTCTATTACTGGTTGTGAACTTTCCAACAAATCACAGAATATGTAAGAACTTGGTTGGATCAGAGCAAAGGTCCAGCTACTCCAGTACTTCTTTCCCAGAGTGATCAACCAGATGTCTTTGGAAAGTCCAAATGCAGGTCATAAGCACAATAGCATTCTCTTTTGTGTTCCCCAGCCACTAGTATTCAGAGACATATTAGGTCTGAAATTGGAAAGAATATATAGCCTTAGTGATCTAGGGGATCTTTAGGTTCAAATTTCTCAAATACATTTGGATGACCCCAGTGTAAACTGATGAAAAATAGCAAGCTATTCTTAATGCTTAGAATGGATTCTCTGCTACCATGAGAAAAATTCAGAAAATATAAATAGTGAAAATAGTTTAATCAGAGAGGACAGTTGAGAGGGATAGGTAAAGGGCCTAAGAATATCCCATCAAGACAATGACTTAAGTCTACCATAAAATGATCAGAGAAAGTTTCTGAACCCTTTAGAATTACACATAATCTTGCAGTAGTATGACCTACAATGTGACCCAACTTTCATCTAAGCCCTATTAATAAAGAGAATCTAGTTAAACAAACTACAAAACAGTGTCATAACTTTACAAGGTGCCTTAACACACTGACGCAACATTCACCATCTTCACTGGAAAAATATATACATTTTCAGATTTATTAACTGGTGGCACTTCCTTTAGCAGTACTGACTACAAACTAATGTTTCCTGTGTCTCTTGATCAGTTTTGCACATTTGCTTGGAGGAGCTTGGAAGCTGAACAGCTTGCTTCAGGTCATGCCCAAGGTTTCACAAATTGCCTTGGCTATTCTGTGCTTCAACCATCCTGTGGTAAATTTACTTATGGGTTTGTAATTCTAGTTATAGATGAAGTTCACCTACTAATAGATGAAGCTCAGATTACACTGTAGGTCACCAACAGTGCAGGATTACAGCTTTGGTCCTGAAGGGTTCAAACTATCTCACCACCCACACAGGGTTCAACCATCCCCCATCCAGGGGAGGGGAGGGGGCAGGAGTTGCAATGTCCAGATTTCCCTTTGACCATAGTGGTTGGGAACTTGGGGAGTTACAAACCCAGAGCATCTGGATGGTACCAGGTTGAAAAAGTGAACCCAGTATATCACAAACTCTAAACCCTCCACATAAAAACCTCTCACCTCATATACTTTGCTCCAGCTGTCAGTGTCCAGCCGGTGCTTGTTCTGTTTGATCTGATTGAGGCTTGGCTTGATGAGGGAGTTTCCCACCTTTTCTTTTGTCCAGTCATCCACCAGTTTATGCAAATCATCTGTGAACATTCCTTTTTTACTGGCTGTTGTCTGCTGACAAGAGGCAGTGCTACTCACGATGCAGAGTTGGTCTAGGAAGGAGCAAGGTTTTAGAATGTGTTTTTCAAGCAGTTGTATCAAAACATTGAACCAGTGCTCTTTTTCTTCTTGGGTAACAAGAAACATTTGAGTCTTGCAAACCACATCTTGGCCTCCTGACCTATTTGTGGTCTGGAAAAGATCTTCCAGTATCATGCTGTCATCTGGAAAGGTGGGACTGAACACATTTGACCCATATTTAATTTTATTTGGGGTGACAAGACTGGGTGGTTTTAAGGAAGGGAAGGGGAGCATTTAATCTCTTCAAAGTCTTGCACTCCCAACCTTAAAACTGCCCCAAATCCCCCAAAGAAAACAAAAATCAGCCACTTTGCCAACCAATTTCAGCTGCATGATCAGTCATGTTGGGGGCCCATATGCAGACTACTAGTTGCCCACTCCTACTCATGCATATTATTTATTCTTATTTAATCATTAAGACTTATAGACTACTTCAATCACATTGGGAACTCTAGACAATTTACGAAGTATAACAAGGAATAGGACTATGACAGTGCCTCTGCCCAAATATTCAAATATTTGTGACAAATATTTATGTATACTCAGAATACATAATTCAGGGGTTTTTTTTCAATGACTAAATAGCAGCCAGAACCTGAGAATGGGAACAGCAAGTAGATGAGGATTAGATGGCCCAGCCAAAAGAATTAGGCAGGAGATCATAAAATGAAACATATGGAAAAGATCACAAGGCATACTAGGCTCCACCAAACAAGCAAACTTGGGCACATCTTCCAGTTTCAAATAGTATTGTTCTGCAGACAAAAGGAAATTAAGTCTGGAATTTACACATAATGCTAAGTCAGAGATCTTTAAAGAGGTTTGGATACTATTTGGAATTTGTGGAAACTGTTATGGTTCCTATTACAAAATAACTGCTATGGGAGGATTTTTAAAATTCACTGTTCCAGAGACCCACACTGTGCAAAGAATATGCAATTTCCTTAAAACAGAGCAAGGTAGAGGTTGGATCTGATATTAAGCCACATTCCCATGTAGAGTGTAAGATTATATTCATTTTATTAGAAGGCAAACTAATAATAAGGTTTTTGCCTAAGAAACTAAATACAAGGCAAAGGCTAGGTTTAAGCCCCAGATGCAAAATGCTATTTTCCCTTGCTCCAGTGCTTGACAAAATATTCAAAGTCAGTACGCTGGCTGGGGAATTCTGGGAGTTGAAGTCCACACATCTTAAAGTTACCAAGGTTGAAAACACTGTTGTATACTATACTTTAGGCAAAACAATGTAGGATGCTGCTCCCCTCAATCCCCAGCTAACCTGTCAGAAGCAGGCCCTTTTCTTTCCTTTAACAATAAAACAGTCACCAGGCTGCTTGTGCATGGAACTCAGTATAATTCCATAGAAAGATCGAAGAGCATTTCTGCACTATATTCTAAGCTGCTTGATTCCTAAGCTGCTTGACTCTCATCCTGTCCCATATGTTTCAACCAACTTTAGAAGTTCCAGTCTGGATTACATGGATTGGCAATGGGGCTAGGCTGGTGCTCAGTCCAGACTATGGCCACTGGAAGACCTGACTGGTCATTCCCCTGCTTCTTGTCCTTCCCATTTTGAGCAGTGAAGGCAGATATTACTGACTGGCTCCTATAGTCCTCATTTAGCAACCACAATTTGGACCAGCAACTCAGTCATTAAGCAAAGTGATTGCTAAGTGAAACCGTGACTGTCCTTACAATTTTACTTCAACTTTCCTTTGCTTTACAGACCTGCAAAGGTCATCAGTGTGAGGATTGGCCACAAAGTTACTTTTTCATCACCACTGTAACTGTGAACAGTCGCTAAATGAGGACTACCTGTAGTTTATCAGTGCTAGCCTTTTCCTTTTTAAGATAATTCCCTCCTCAGTAGTCCCTATAATTTTACTTTGCTTTCCCAGACATGGAAAATGCACACATGGATGCCTTCATAGCCCCCTTCCCGCATAATCTCCTTTGATACTAAAGTAGACACTTGCTATTTTTTCTTTTTCCCCTTATGGTACCATTGTAGCTCTGATGCTACAGTAACCAAAGCAATAACAGATTGTTCATTTGTTTCTATATCTTCTGTAGATCTATGGAAACTTTCTAGCAAGGAAAAACTAATCGTTCAGCTTCACAGAAACAAACTAGCAGCATTCCTACCTTGCAGCTTAAAAATGTTAAAAAAAAAAAAAAAGGGAAAACAAGCTTTGCACTACTGTAGGCAGGGATGGGAAAGCAAGAGTAGCATGCTTCACCCAACCAAGAAACAGAAAAGGTACCCCTGGGAGATGTAAGACTTGAATGGAACATGGGTTACTAGGGTGGAGGATAGTTCACTAACTTAGTGGGCTATTACTGGATCAACTGCAAGATTATCAGAAAATAACAGCAATTGCCAACTAGCAGAGAACATAACATCCCAGCATGAAATGATTGCCCTGGGCAATGGCCAGCCACTGGAGGGGAGTACGCATACCAGATTGCAACCAGTTGGAGTTGGGGCTGCTAACAGAATGGAACAAAGTGGAAGAGATCATCTGCCCTGAAGGGCTTAAGACAAGTTGGGTCAAAAAACAGTAGCTTTGAATCAGAGCTGGAAAACGCAAGGTGCATTTGCAATATGCTGGGAGTGGGAAGAGGAACAAGAAGTGGTGAAATGTTCATCTGGACTACATTTTAAAGTGATTGGCTTAATTTGAATATCCTCTCTCTCTGTCTCTCTCTTTCACACACACACATACACACAAATGTATGCTTTGAGCTCTCTGAAGTTTGTGATACATTTTAGGCTCAACAGTAACATGACAATGTTTTTATTAGGACAAAATGCATACAAAATATAAAGGCAAATCCTGCAGAATGGTTTTTGACAAAATTAATTTATAACTGAGTATATGCAAAACTTAAGCAATCCAAATGGAGACTCACCAGGTCATCCCTAGAACTATACACTCATTCAGAATAACTCAAACTGCAAACATATACACATCAAACTGTGCCCTGCCTTGATTGCTCCACTAGCCCTAAATGTATCAGGAGACAATGAGATCCCTTTTCCTTTCTTCTGTTTTTTTTTTTTAATCTTTCCAGGTGAGAGAACATACAGCAAAATGAAAAACCATTTTCTATCAACCTTCTGCCTTCATTTCTAGGCCCAGAGGAGGAGGAGGAGGAGGAGGAGGAGGGAAATGACAATAAGAGAAAGCAAGTTTAGCATCTGTATTGCTCTTGTTATATGTAATATTTGCAATACCTTGGCTAGTTTCTGCTTGTGAACAGCTTTGATGCAGCAAATGGGCTTGAATGCTCAACTGATAGTCAATCACAGAGGCAGCAGTGGTTGCACAACAGCATTCTGTGCGGCAGAGAGGGGAAAGACAAACAATCAGAGGCAACTAAAGTAGCACACACTGTAGGCTGGGCGTGGGGATGATGATGAAGGGATGGGTTGCATTCAGGATTAATATGCATAAATCTGTGTAGGGAAATTAGGTTCCAAACTGGCTTAGCTCACTGGAGGAAAAATACAGGAAGTGAGATGGCAATGGGAAAGTCTTTAGAACTTCTGATTTGAGTTCGTAGACATAACCTCGGCAAACAATGTGAAATCCCAGGGACTCATCCACAGATTAGTGAATTCAGCATCTTTGTTCTGTATTAGGGAACCCCTGTCCAATCCTCAAATAGGCCCCTAGTTTATGTATGGCTCCCACTTGCATTTCCTTACCAGCAGCAACAATGCCATTGTCTACATGAGAGTGAGATTGTGGCCGGCTGCGCAGCTTGCTTTTGAAAGACTTCGGCCGTCGTGGGGATGACAGTTGCAGGGAGATGTCAGAGGATTCTGACCTGCTGTCTTTGATGGAGCGGAGACGTTCATAGAGCTCCTGCAACTCCCTGTTCTGCTGAGCTTGAAGGCTGACTACCTCCTGGATATGCCTACACAGAAGCAGAGGAAAAGAAGAAAACCTTGGCAAGATATAAGTTCTCAGCTACTCTTTCACCTCAATAGTCATCTCAGGAACAATGGAAGGCAGGGAGCATGAAGCTATCAGGTTCAGGCCAATGGCCTCTTTCCTCTCAGCTTGCTTGGGGGAGAGATGTTTCATGACATACTGCCGCATCAAATGAGGTCATCCCCTGGAGGCAGGATTGCTGGGGAAGGAGGCCCAAGCAGAGCTCTGACTTGTTTTGGAGAAATAACATTTCTCCTCCCCTTTCCCACTATGATGTTTCATCTTGGATTCAAATCTAAGAACCCTTCATCAAAATTTTGGAGGAGTTGCAATCAGAAGGGAACATTTTTTCGTATGTGGTGGACTTGTGAAAAAGTGGTACCTTATTGGAAGACAAAATTCAAAGAAGTTAAAATAATAACTAAACAAAAGTAGAATGTGTTCTAGAATTGGGATTATTATGTATTTTTGAGGGAGATAACTCTAAACAGAAAGGTGCTTATTTTATTCTTACTCCTGGCTGCAAAATTGAGAATTGCTCAAAACTGGAAATTTCTAGATAACATCTCATTGAATAATTGGCATGCAAAAGTATGCTCAGTTGCTCTTATGGAAAAAGTGACTGATAAAATTTAAACACTGACTTCTCAAAGGGATGAATCACATTTTTATCAGATGTGGAAAGATTATGTAAGTTATGCTAATAATAACAACTCTTCTACTGTTAAAATGAATGTTATTGTAATGTAACCTATGACTGAATGTTGACATATATTGTTCTGTGCTGTTATCTTGTATTCTTGTTTCTTTTTGCCTCATAGAATATTGAAAATCTAAGAGTCCCTGTGTGTAAGAAGCAAGCTGCATCTCCAGGTTATGGCACTTTCTGTAGTCCATGTGAAGGAATAGAAATGCCTCATAATCTCTCTCCTCTTAGCTCTGGATGATGGATAGGAGCACCCTATTGTGTGGTTTGGAGACTCGGGAGCTTCCTCTGCTTTACTTGTGACAGGCTGTTTCCTGCACAATGGTGCAAGAAAATGGAATTCCCTGGCAGAGAGAATGGATTGGCTTTGTATCTGTGATACTGCCATCCTGGTCATGAGTAGTGGGCATCAGTGGTATTTCCAGTGATGCTAAGGACTGGTTGTTCTTTTTTTGCTCTATTCTGTTCTTTTTCAAGCAAAGGATTTACTCTTCTGTTTTAGGCTAGAAAAGTATAAGGTATGGTGCTGTTGTGCCAGTGTAGTCACAGATTGTTTCTTCCTTTGTAGTATTGGATGACTCTGAATACATGCTGTAACCAGGGATGCGATAGTGAGCTTACTTAACTAATTTGATTGATTTAAACATTCTCTGATTGATTAAAAAGATATTTCCAGTTTGACTGATTAAAATATTTAATTACTTGTAAGAAATACTCTATGGGTGGCAAGCTCCTTCATAGAAAGTAACTGTTCTTTCTCTCACACAGAAGGAAATTATACTTCTAAGGAGAAGCCTACCTTGATGCACAGGTACCATTTAAAAATAACTTTTTTCCCTTTAAATGTGTTGTTCCATTTATGTGCAAATATATGGAGATTCAGTTGAGTAATTGATTACAGATGATATGACTAACCATTAATAGTTTCTTTAATCAGGAGGCAGACAGCTCCATACTAATTATAGGTAAATAATAATAATAATAATAATAATAATTATTATTATTATTATTATTTATAATAGAAAACTAAAAATCACCTGGAACTAACAAAAGAAAGTTTTGTCAGACTTTAGGTTAACCCCAAAGTTTAACCCCAAAACAGAAATAACAAATAATACTTTAATGGAGCAAAAATATAAATTGTACCCTATTCCACTCTTTACACAATCTGGTAATTCACTGGGATTAGAACTAATGCAAATCTGTTATAAGGCTCATTGTTAGTGCCCTTACTTCTCCCGCAAACGCTGCAGCTCCAATTTCAGGTCTTCATCTTCAATTTCCGATTCATCATCACTGCTCATTGGAGAAGATGCAGAGTAAAAAAGGGAATTACGCCTCTTTGGATGGGTGCCACCCCTTTCCTCTTGAGACTGCTGGTTTGACTCCCAGCCTTCTAAGCTACCACCACCCATGGGGGCAGAAAGTTCACTGTCAGAGCTAGGCTGCTTCTGGATCACATCACCTTTGGACCATGGCTCTGAGCATGATTGCATGCTGCTTGCAGTAGCAGAGGCCTCCTCCAGTTCCTGCTGCTCAGAGGTAGTGAAACATGCTTCTGTTTCACCCATGGCACTGGGCAAGGTAGCCATTTCTTTTTCTCTGGGACAGCCTTCTTCCATTCCAAGCTCCAAGGAAGGAGACATCTCAGAGAGTTCACTTTCTGAGACACCTGAGGACAACTGTTGTGGGACAGTGATGACCTGAGGTAAAAAGAAAGAGAGAGAGAAAGAGAAAAGAGGAAGGTTTAACTCAGTAGAGTTACACAAAAGTGAAGCTTAAAATGGACTACACTAGTGAAAAGGATTTGAGTCCCTCAGGGCATAAATAATATGTCCACTTCATCATGCGCATTTAGAGTTACAAGTCTTCAACATGAGTTTAACTAATCATCTATCCTTCATATGTAGAATTAAAAGGAACTAAGAATGAGTGGGGACTGGAAGGAGACAGGTTTTTGGTTTCATACGCTTAAATTTTAATCTCCTCTGTCTTCAGAATGCTTTAAATTAATAGCCATACATTTAAAATAATGTAATTCAAAATAAATAAAATTAAGTAAGTAAAAGATTAAAACATACCATATTCAAGATTTATTGTTAAAATATATTTACATAAGAAGTTCATAAATGCATGAAATACCTTGGACATCTGACAGCCGGAAAACAAATACTTATATTCCATTAAAAAAACAGGAAAACATGTGACAGGCCATGTCAGCTGAGACTTGGACTACAATTATATAAACCACACCTGATTTTATAGCAAAAAAAAAAAAAAGCCACACAAAAGAAGGAAAAAACATACTTTATGACCCTGTAAATATGTATGAAGGTGAGACTATAAAGAGAAAAAAACTATAGAGAACACTCATGTTAAAAATCACCACTTTGTAATCAATTTTTAGATATTCCTTTAAAAACACATATAATTCATAAGTGTCGTGTTTTGTAAAGCCTGCCAAAAAAGCTTTCAAACTGTAGCTAAACCATCCATCATCATGTAATGAAGAGACAGGACAACACAGTTTTTTAAAGACTGCAACACACTGAGGAAGGGGGAAAAAAAGAGAAAAAAGTGTAAAAAAAACCCCCAAACCCTTAGGGCAATTTAGAGCCCAAGGAACCATGGAACAGGCATCTGCATGCAACTCATCATCAAGGAGATATTGTATGAATGTAAAGTGCTACTGCACCAAAGAACAAAAAGAAGTGCACAGAAAATTATTGCAGAAAAAGGAATAACAGAAAATGGGGAATAAAAAGTACTGTTATCACAAATCAATCCGAAAAACAATGGTTTAGACAAATATCTTCAAGAAGACACAACCAGTCTAAAATACTCATCCAAAAATCAAGCTCTTTTCATTAAAGGAACTGTCCACTAAATATCATTTGACTAGAAAACATTTGCTTGATTTCCGTGTGCCATACTTCATAATTATGTGCTGGTTAACAGTTAAAAATAAATAAATACATTTAGTAAGCTACTGCACAGTTACCCAAAGATCACAAACTGCACACTAAAGAAATCAAGATGATTTAGTAGCTTGTGGCTCATGGATATTCTTTCTATTAGATTCCTCTTCCCCCCTTCCAGCAGTGTTCTAGTAGTTGGAGCATCTGGGAAGCTCTCCAATCCTGCAGCCACAATGGTTCCCAAGTGTTAAACCCTAAGGTGAGGGGGTTGCTTAATGGACTGCTGTGATCCCATCATACACCTTCCCTTTACTCCTGGGGCTGATACAGGACACCAAATCCACCACTGATAGTTGTATGTGGCTCTCAATGGTAAAAGCTTATCTATCCCTCTTTTGCCATATGAAATAATGAACCTTGTAATTATATCTGAAATATTTAAGCCAGTACTGTAATTTTCCAGAAAGACTTTCAAACAGACTAATTTCCCCAGTTGCCAAAACAAAGCAGCAAATTGTTCTGCAATCTTTTCAACAAAATAACGGACCAATACTTAACTCTACACAAAACAGCACAAGTCACCTGGTTTACTTTGTAGAAGATAGATCAGTGATTACAACTCTGGGTATGGATACTCAATTGACAAATACACTGGACAGCAGGAAGAAGTACAGTATTTACTTGCACAGCTGTCATGAAATTCAAGTAAGCATGGATGTTTCGATTGCTTCAAAGAACATAAGGCACAGTGGAGACATAAAACTGCTCCAACAAATAGCCATCAGTTCATTTTTTTCTTCCTTCTTCATTTTGTTGTTGGACCTAACTATGATGCAGCATTACATCTGCACTGGCATATTTTCTAACCATGATTAAGTTAATGGTTAGAATGGATTTGCAGTATAGGGCTAATTTATGCAGGAAATTTTGATGAAGATTTAATAACATTTTATTCCAAAAATAAAAGGGAAGAGGAGGAGGAGGAGGCATAAAGAAGTTATATAACATCTCCTAATCTTCTAAGCCTTACAAGAAGACAACTCTAAATATAATAGGCCCCTTACTAAAAGATTAGGCAGAAAAATTTGTCTGTTTCCATTACTGTACTGTATATTCCATGAAGCTAAGTTAATCCTCCCATTTTAAAAGAATAAACTTTGCAGAAAATAATTGTATTTCAGATCAATAAATTACTCTAATTAACTATCCTTGATATAATTGCTCAAACTCAGAAAAATTACTGAGGCTATGTACCATGCTATATCTACAGAACGCTGGAATGAATCTCTGATTGTAACTCTCATATTGTAAGTTTTATTTAAAAATAAGACAAATCTGTATTTCTAAAAAACAGACAAGTATTGCCAAACAGTTCCTTGGCAAGATTCTCTCTCTTAACTATATTAGTATATATTATCCCCTCAATTCCAAAATGGAAAAAGCTTATAAAATATTTCTGAATTTAAATATGAAGCTATTGGATTAATGGGCCCAACTGGGTTCAAGAGGGAACTTGGGGTTATTCCAAGAGTCTGTTGCAGGGTCTGACTGAAGCTTTGGCGTCCACCTGGAATGAGGGTGGCTGTGGCTTTGGATCAGATTAGATCGTGCCCCTGAGGCTTCTCCTCTCCCAGGGATCCTGAAACTTCTCTTGGTTTACAGTGAAGTTGAAGGAGATAAAGTATGTGAGGAGATGCCTGGAGTGCTGCTGGAGGGCAACGCAGAGTGAATCTGACCAACTATGGGTTAGAGCAATTGTTAGGGCCTACCTCGTGGTGATAACGGCAGTGAAGCATCAATATTTCTCCACCCTTATTGTATCCGCAGATAACCATCCAGTGGCTTTATTTCGGATGACCTGAACCCTCCTAGGGTCACTGTGAGGAATATGCTTAGTATCTGATGGATAAAGTCACTCAAATTCATGCCGAGTTGGACTCTGGCCTTGGAGCAGGTCCTGTGGAGGTGATTGGGGCTTAGTCTGGATTGATTACCTGGGAGAATTTTGATCTTGTTGGTCCTGATGAAGTAGACAGGGTT